GATCCTCGTTCCCCTGCCGGGGGGCGCCAGTGTTCCGGTGCTCCTCGGTGCGGAAGGAGGGCGCGGTGGTGGGTCGGAGCGGAGGCGTGGGCGCGGTCGGCACCTTTAATCGTACCATATGGGTGGCCTCAGGGTCTCAGGATTGATGGTTTTGGAGATTCCATGAGCAGGAGTTGCTTTGATGAAGGAGTTGGAAGATACAATGATCCAGATGTGAATGTTTAACACAATGGAGATCGCCACACTCTACCTCTAGTGTTGTCACTATGGTGGCAATATCAAGAGAGAATACCGCTTCCCAGACAAGCATGAAAGCCAGACATCAGCCCTTTCCAGAGGTATAAATGATTGTCTTCCGGGCACTTCCGGGGGCTCGTGTCCCACTTCCATTTCAGGGACCTTAGATGACGAGAACATACCCAGACCATCCATGTGTGGAATAGTTTCATACATTTGGCCCACTGATGACCCTAATCCAAGCTAGCAATGCCAGTCACATGGAGTGTTGATGTTGGTCCTGGGCCCTTTGCCGAGGTCCCTGCTGGGCCGTGAGGGCCCTCCGGTGCAAGCATGGTACCAGGCAGGGAAGGGAAGGGTTGCAGTGTTGCAGGTCAACACAGTAAAGCACCATCATGAATTCCCCCAGCGAAGTCAGGATCTTCATGTCGCAATGGCAATCACTGAAAAATCATCATGGAAGTTGATGGCATGGCAACTTCAATGACCCTTGAACTTCCCCCTCCCAAAGAGGTGCACTCCATGTAAACCATGATCAACCCGATAAGTGTCATGCAGCCCGGTTCGGTCTCAGTTTCCCTTTGGTTCGCCGTGGAGAGGTCTATGCCGGGCACCAAGAGCTGTTGGCCGAGGCGCTGCAGATGCGAGAGGACGTGGCGCCTGGGCTGTGGAGATGGAGCCTGGGAAGGTATTGATGGCTATGGTGGAGCCCAGGGTGGCTTCGACCATAGGTTCTGAAGAGTCTATGTAGGGCTTGGTAAATCTAACTTACCAACTATACTGATTATGGACTTGGAATTTGCAGGGGGCGAAGAGCCAATCCCTGTATTTCTGTGGGATTGGTGCTTCTGCGCTCTGCCCTTCGAAGAGTTCTCCTGATCCGAGTGGAGTACATGGCGTACGGGTTGTGAACGCTCGGCACGTTGCTCAACGACTTCCAAGCACCGCCCGCGGCGCTGAAACTGTTGGTGGATAACCTTGAACTGCAATTGGGGTAGGTGCCAGGAGGGTCGAACCACCGAACCTGAGGATAGAGTTGGAGTCGTAGGGGTCCTTGAAGCAGTCCTTGAACCTTTCAGTGGGATTGATTGGCCTCCCCACTCCCAACAGATGGATTCGGTTCACTGGTCAACCCGCTTCAGGTCCGACCCAGCAAAACCAGGTTTCAGGACTCAGAAGGTAATTGAACCCTCCTGGCGCCTGTAAATAGTCTCCAATCACAGTACCTCAGGTTCGTTACTGTGGATCCATAGGGTTTGTGTTGTAGGGTTCTTTTTGTCCGGGGCTGTGCGCACCGCAACTGCCCCGCGGCAGAAACTGCCCAAGGTGCGCAGCTTCTTCCGCCAGTCCAGCTGTGCCTCCAATCAGCTCACCTGGCGCCTGGGGGGAGGTCTGGATGGCTCACCGGTGGGTGTGTGGGAATATGATGAAATATGTGGGAATCAGCAAGGCAAGGAATACTGGGGCATTGCTTCTCCTTCAAGGACCTATGGACCTTTATAACCCTCTCAGAACTCTTGGCTCAAATCCCGAAGGCTTTTTTAGGACAGTTCCTATATCAGTCTGAGCCTCAGAGCCTGGAGGGCATGAAACCAAACTTGTTTTAAGGGAAAAGTTTTGAAGGTGAAAGCCATCATTTCCGGTAGATTTGTCAATATATTTGTCCCAATCCACTCCCCAGGGTTTCAAGACCATTAAAGAAATGGGTGACCTGGTGTTGTAGTATACAATCCTTATAGTAAACCCATGTTTTTTTTTGCGCTTGGGATCCACGGTTGTCGATGTGATGCCCCCCCGAATAACGACAGACTGAAGTGGTTTAACAACAACTTAGAATTGTGGGGGGCGGTTTGTTGAGCCCACGGTGCAGATCAGCGGATGAGAGAGCGAAGCCGCCAGGTACAAGGTTTCCTGCGACTTTGTTTCACCTCCGTGGGGCTTCCAGCACCCAGTTGCCATCCAGCCGTGTGGTACCAGCAACTTGGCGCAAGGGGAGAGCGGAGCAGCTCGAGCTCCGCTGTGGGTGACGCTTTGCAGAGCTCCGTGGGTTACAGAAGTTTTTTCCTATGTGTGCACTGTGTGCATGCATGTTTTAAACAAATCCCATTCACATCCACGGAGACTCTCTTCTTTGTTGGTTTCAATGTGAATTTACATGGCCAGCATGGACCCTGGGCTTGCCCAGACCTGGGCAGGTCCCCTGAGCCCTTCTTAACGCCCCAACAAGATCGGGGATCACCGCAGGGTTCCCTGGTGCCCCTATCGACGAGGTTCCTTAGGAAAGTTGGGGCGTCAAAGAGCGGGCCTTCTCTTCGGCAGCCACGGACGGACTAGGTCTTTGTCTTAGTTGAAACACGATCCATGTCCCTCAGTCAGGAGCTCATCAAAGCGGGGGGCAGCACTTGTTCCTGGTTTCTGTTGATCTACGGTATATTTCTTCAATCCCTCACTCCACCAAAAAAAAGGGTACAGTGGTGGAATGTGCCACTCACATGTCAACCTGTGCGACAAAGAGTTCGGGTTGTGCGGGGTGAACCGTAGGATCGTCGGACGCTCCGTCACGAAGCGAAGCTGCTCTCCACGCAGGAGAACACTCCCCCTTCACTCTCCACCCTCCTCCCGCACGGAACTTCTTCTCAGGCTCATTCGCGAGATCCACGACGCCCCTGAGGTGCTTTTTGGAGGGGAACGGGCCAGTCGGTGTCTAATTAACTATTTCCGAGACCGGAACATACCGGAACCGGAGTCTTCCACGCCCCGGTCTGGTATTCTTGCAGGTCCATGCCTGGCGCCGGGTTCATGTGGGTCTCCTAGCCCAGACCGAAAGAGTTGCCAACATGGATGGGTGATTTTAAGCAGTTTTTGAGGGTAGTATATGTGCCTTAAAATATTGTTGCATCCTTCTTTAGGCCGTAAAAATCCGCGCATGGTAGGTCAGCAAGTGCTTTTCTTTTGTGTGTCTTTCAGTGTGTTTGATTCAGGGTCGAGGAGTGTAGACTGCGTGTAGGACGGCCGATGTTTCATGGTGTTTGTCCTCACTTTTGAATCGAAGACATTGCTTGTTCTCAATGTTTGGCATTGCTTTCTATGTGGAGATTGACCATGGCTCAAGCCGACGCTTGCTGTTGAAACCTCAACAATGCAGGTTACCGCGGTGTCTGGCAACATGATTGCTCAGCTTGATGAGGATGAGATGCATTATATGGTGGAAAGCGGGCAATCGGTTCGAGACCTCAAGCGACGTCTTTCAGCTCAGGTTGGGTGTTCAAGGTTCCAACAAAGACTCTTCAGTGCCGAGCTTGCAGAATTGGAGGATGACTTGGCTCTACCAACACTGTCAAGTGTCCAGCTGGTAATTCTGCCCTTGAGTGCCCCTGATGACACCATGAACAACGAACTGCTCGCAAGCTGCGAGGAGAATAATTTGGCTCACATTGAAAACCTACTTCAAAAGCCAATGGACCCGAATCAGGGACATTATTTGTATCTTATTATTGCAGCTCAGAACAGCCACTCGGAAGTTGTGCGATTGTTGCTGGAGGCTGGAGCTGACAAAGATGCAGCAAATTTAGATGGTGCAACGGCTTTGCACACTGCAGCCAAGCATGGCCACTTGGAAGTTGTCCGATTGTTGCTGGAGGCTGGAGCTGACAAAGATGCAGCAGATACAGATG